TAGCAAAGAAGCTATAGATAAGCTAAATTCAAATATCCACGTAGAGAATTTTGTGGCTTCAATGGATTCAATGCTAGATGAAACAATAAGACAACACTTCCATATTATCAATCAGAATTTCAGACCCCGCTACGGGCATATTCACAATTTAATTTCAATATATCTATAACTATAAACAGATATTCACCGACTCGAGATATTATTTCCACCTTAATGTCGAGAGCTGGTAAAAGAATATTAGCCCCAGAATGGGTACTCTACCGATCTAACTAATCTGGATCAGTGATCAGCGTGAAAACTTGTTTCGTAGGCTCAGAAGATTTTTTGTTGGGTTATATTTATACCCTGTATGACAAAAAAATAGATTATCTAACCTGTTCTAGACATGGGCATTGGTCTGTGCTAGCCGAATTTTTTACAAAATTTCGTGCAATTGTTGAGGAGTGAACTCAAGGTATCATTCCCCGTCGAGATCTGTTGATAGATTACTCAACGATCAAGCAGGATGGTGGAACTTTACCGATATAACTAATCCGGAGCGGTGATCATCGGCTTAGAAGAATTGGTTGGGTCACTCCTGTACGACAAAAAAATATAGATTAACTAACTTATACTAGATATGGGCACTGGTCTGCGCCAGCTGAATTTTTTACGAAAATATCATGCAATTCTTGAGGAGTGCCCTTCAGAAATTACGGGACTGTTTTCCAGGGTTAAATCTGAACATATAAAGATATCCTATTGCATTTTTATCGGCTTCTATTTCACTTATTTCTCGATTAGTATAACCATCAATATCAAGAAGATCTTGAATTGTGCTTATATCCCGTTCCAAATATAAAAGTAAATGATAAATTTCCCCAAGTGACATTTCCCCAAATGTTACATCCATAAGATCTTGCATATTTTGATGTAATATTGTAAGGATGGGGTGACCACAGATATCAATTTTCTCCTGTATCGGTTTTAATTCCTCCACCAAATCAAACAACAACCCAAATGAATCTTTAAGTGTTTTTCCTTTCTTGCTTTGATTCAATGCTGTTTGATTTGTATTGTCATTAATAGATAGGGGAGGTCTCTTCCGAGACCCCATCGCCATACCGAGTTTTTCCTGAATAGCTATTATATCTTTCTTCTTATATAAAAGCACTTCATATAAAAGCTCTTCATGTAGGTCATCATATAAGCGCAATTCAAGATTTTCTTGAATTTGAGCATTGACTTGATCAGAATTATTATTAGTATTTCTTGTCATGATTGTGTTTATCTCTGGTTAGCATTATTCAAATTTGTGTCTGAAATACTGATCATCAACTGGAGCGGTGATCACCAGCTCAGAAGATTTTTTGCTGGGCCACAGATTGTGCGACAAAAAATAGGTAGATCATCAGCCAGGTCTTGTGCGACATATTAATTTTTGCATATAACGAAAGAAAAATATATATGTTGACCAAGTCCCTTTATTTTTTTCCCAAACAAATGTGAGAAAATGTGAAAAAAGGTCTAGTTTCAACATAAGACCTACCGTAAAAGTAAATACTGACGGTAAAAGCATATGCTATGAAGGGCTGAGGACTTTATAATTTCGAGATCTACAAGAACTAACTATCTTTGCATCTCTCCAGTAGATCTACATGTGAAAAGGTATGAAGAATCCATTTGCATGTGCCTTCATGGAACTCTTGGTATTAGACGACAATACTAATTACGCCACATACCTCCTTAACTTTTTCCAGCAAGATATAAAACATGTAGGATATGTGAAAGTTCAGCTAACTTTCCGCAAAATTTTTAAGGTGCGTATATATCAGAAGTTATGTATGTATGAGAACGAGCGCCAAGTTGAAAGAAATTTCTCACTATGAGACATTGTATTTAGGAAAACAAGATGTCTTCCTGGGCTGAAACAATAAAACTATGGGAAACTAAAAGACTTATCAGCTTTTTGAGGAGTGATTCAAAATTAGAAGGCTTAAAACTTGACAATAACTTTTTTACGAAGCTTAGTGATGAAAATATTACTGGTGATTTATTTCTCAGGCTAACAGGATGGGATTTAAAGGAATACGGAATGACATTAAGACAGGCATTAGAACTTGAGGACTACATTAAGGGACTATATGAGTAATTAAATGTTTCTTATAGCTGTATTTTATTGATGAGGTCCTCGTTATCCTAATAGTCTTATTTCATAAATCAAGATAAACGAGAGGGAGCATTAGGAGTTCATCTTGTGAGAGAGATCGGTTCGAAATCAAGTGAGCCCCCAACTAGTTAGAATTTTTTATTCGCATCATGTAGCGATATAGTCGCAATTTTTATTTATTGTAGGCCAGCTTCCGGCAACGTTTTTTATTCTTAAATAAAGCATATATTATGTTCTTATCATAAATCTTGAAAAATGTCACGTGTAGTGATGTAATATAATCGCCTGCTGACAATCCTGTATTACATCTTAATTGCATATATATTGGACAAATGCATTATGAATTGATACAAAAAATCTATCATTTCTCTCTGAGCGCTTTACTTCGGAAACCAAAAATACTTTTATATCCATAAACTAGCTTTACCTGTAACTGCAGTCGAGTGCATATTTTTTATCGAGAAAATAGGTATAGATAAAATTAAGTATCTTAGTGAATATAGTCCTAATTCCATTTCAGAGTTGACTAACGATCAAATTTAAGAAATCAGAGAGGCGGGATAATTCTGCAGAGCAGGATGATTTTCCAATTCCTGAAATTTCAGCCAGAAATCTTGAGACTAGCGAAAAAATCTTGCCTGAAGAAAATTCATCATTATCAGCCGATTTGGAGGATTATATAAAAACGCTCACAGGAAGTCTTAATGATGAGACTGCTAATTGGAGCACACCATACGAGAACTCAGCTAGGATAGGAAAAGAGGAATCAAATGAAGTTAAGTTAGACGATGAGGTCCCTCCAGATCCTGAAAACGTTCCTAGTGATTCTTCAGGTGATTCCAAAGGAATCGGTCCAGACGATTTGTCCAAATCTCAAGTAAGTGTACCGTCTGTATCTCAGGTAGGATCGTCTAACTAATCCAGGCTTCTGATTTCTATCTTACCTAAAGATCTTGAAGAGAAACGAAAATATATAATTGGATTAGTGCTAGAGCGGTAATAATTCAACGCTTTGTCCATTATGTAATGAGAACCATAAAGAAGAAAGTTTATAAAGTGATATAAGAGGTGAGTGGGGTGCGGGTGAATATTACAGTGAACAAACTTATCGTATCAAATGCAAAGATCCTCTTAATCGTGGAATTCTAATAGTATCTGTAAAAGCATAGAGAGCGGTAGAAGATATTTGGTAAAATTCTTGCCGAAGAATAGGAGCTGTGCGATATGATTAGCATATATGATTAGTATATATATTTCGCATTATTTTTTCTTATTACTGCGAGGCTATGCAATCAGAAATAGATTTATTATCCGTGATCTTGTATCCTGGCCTATATACCCATCCTTTGTATTTATAGAATGTATCGCAAAATAAAAGCTCTTTAACACCACGATCTCTTAGCCAGTGACGATAAATTTATAAATGATAAACTTTTTAGCGAAATTTTGATTGCTAGTTGCGCAAAATAATTTATTCTTAAACTTCAGCAAATTAATAGATATTAGGGTTGCCATAATTGTTCCATATTTTGCGACGATCGTAGTATCCAGGAGCGATAGTTCTGCAGTATTATATTTTGCAAAATTGATCTACGATTTGTTAATTAACTTCTAACCCATGATGTGGCACAGTAAATCTTCCCAACTGTCAAAGCTATTCTGGCTTCCTGTGATCCAAATACTTCACACCTTGGCTTGTTTTGAAGCTCTCGGTGCCCTGCATCTGGTCGAATTGATATGGGATTTCTACAATATGTGGACCACGTTTCATAAGCGATTGATGTTTCAATCCTTATATAGTACTAATAATACATTTTGGGATTCACTGGGTAGCTATGAATTCTTACATAATAACCTACTAATTTCTCACCTCCTTTAGGTTCCCAGAACTAGAAACTAGTATTTTGTAGGTTGCCAAGTCACCAGCATTTCACACGCCACTTTTACTGCCTCCACAAGATTCTTTCATAGTTATATCCAAAATAATGCGCAGTAATATTATGCTAATCGTGACATGTATCACAGGAACAAGCAACTGTGCATAATAATTTATTCTCAAACATTCTCACACATTCTCAAAAATATGTATAACCCCTTGATGATCTTTACATATGAATAATAACGTTAAATTTTTTGACGAAACACCTTTGATCGATCACCCGCTAGGTTAATTTGCAACTCAGGATCGTCAGTGAAGATCTAGGACTTACATGTTTTGCGATGATCAACTGCGGAAGGAATATAATTATAAAAATGGAGGATGTATAGGAAGGTTTAGGTAGGAAAAAAAATCAAATAAATTTTATTGCCGAAGTCGCCCAGACTCTTCGAATTAACAAACTTTATATTTTATCATTTTCTAAAACTATTCCTCCAACAAGAATAATTCTGCATATAACAAAATTAAACTAAATCAATCTAAAACAATATTCTCAGATATTTTTTTGTTCGCTGTTTTCAGCATCATAGTTATTATTTTCGAAATGCTGAGCCGTGGTATCCTAACTAAGGAAATGATCTAGGGCATTTTTTCGGGAAATATAAACATTTATATAATCTTTGCCATCGCTATCTTCTTTTTTCACAAATATCTAATGGGATCAAGAGATAATAACCTCGAAAGAACAGTCTTAACATTAAACAATGAACTTCAAAGAATGCGTACAGAAGCCGAATGGAAAATGATGCGATATCTCAAGGTAGGTCATGCGCTACTGAAAGAAGAAAAAAATATTACGTCATATATATTTACCTATCTACGCCTTATTTTTTTTCTAGCAGGATCTAATCGATTCTCTTCTACAAGTCACATTTCCATGGGTCAATATTCCGAATATATGGATGAATATGAAACATATTGGGTCAAATTTACAGCCCTTTTTAATAATAGGAGGAAAAGGGAAAGTTATTCTCCAACGCAAATGTACAACATTTTATCAATCGAAATTGGTCTTAGCGCTAGCACATTAGCTAGTTTTTATCAACATCAAAAATCACCATGAAGAACTTCTATAGATAAAATCATCAAATAGGTTGAAAAGGAGGGAAATAAGAAATCAGTTAGTTTTTCTGATAGTAGCAGTAGTAATAACAGTAGCAGTAGTGGTAGTGTTAGAGGAAGTATCAGTGGAGATAATATTGCGAAATAACTTGATGCTGGGACTCTCATTTATAGCTTAGGATCTGAGAACTCCCTTCCTCTTTGATAGCATTATTTATTTCAATCATTACTTTCTTCCAGTCTTTCGATCTATTATTTTACTTTTTTTTTATTCATTTTTTACTTAACGGATCGGCCATATTACATAAATAATGATAAATAAAAAATTTACTTTGAATTTTTAAACGTATGTCTGCTTTACAAGCTATGAAAATATAAAATTTACTAAACTATTCGCTATTCTATACTAACGAAAAAATCTTA